TTTTTTTGCAATTAGTGCACTTCTCTCGGTCTCGGATGTGACTTACGTATCTATCTATCTATAAGTTGTAGCATCTATATGTAGTGTACGAAAGTTTCTATTCGTTTCGTTTGTGGACGGCGCGCTGTTATCTTTTCTTTTTGGGAACTGTCGCACACGAATGCACAGCGGCGAAAGAAGCAGAAAAAAACGAAAACGAAACTTTAAAAGAAAATGAAAATTCCCAAAGGAAGCATAGATAATGAGCACAATGCCACCCCAGTGGCAACGGGCAGTGTGACCAGCCGGCAGTCCGTCCAGTCGGACTGCTTGGCCAGCTTGTCAGACGGTGGCTGGGTCGACTTCTGGCCCATGGTGTCAGCCATTTTGCCACGGCCGAGTACAATGGCAACAGCAGCAGTAGCAGCAGCGGCAGCAGCAGCAGCTAGCATATTGCCATTGTGCCTGCTCTCCACTTGTCTCGCTGCTCGTCTCGAGTCGACTCTCTCGACTGGGTCGCAGTCGCAGTCGACGTCGTCATTGCCTGTCTCTGCTTTGCTTTTGTTTTTAGCCATTGTTAGTGGAGGGAGTTATGTGTGGCTGCCGCTGTAGCTGCTGCTGCTGCTGCTGCTGCTTTTGCAACATTTGAATGATTCTCGTTGGTCGTGTCAGTCCCACGGGTAATTATTGACACGGTTGTATGCACGCAGCCCAAAAACACACTCACACACACACGCACACTCAGGCACACGTACACAGAGAGAAACTGAGCAGCGCTAGCATGCCACGCGAAATAATAAAAACTCGAAATAATAATGAAAATGTCGGCAATGCTTAGTGGATAGGGGGCGCTGAGGGTGACCCGTTGTTAAGGTGGTGCCGAGTGGTGCAAGTGGTGCGAGCGGCTCTCGATGTCGGTCGCACTTAACACGCACGGCTACATTAAAACCAATGAAAACTACAATTTGCCATCTTATATTACTACATTTTTATCATACGACTATATACGATATACGAGCATAGCCCTAATGTGAATAAGCATTTATAGCACCCAAGTGCGACGGCAGCGGCAACGCCAGCGAGGCATTAGAACTATGTCAGAATGTTTGACACGAAGGTTAAAAATTATATATACACTACTAGAAAAAGTGGAGTAGTTGTAGCTGAGCTACATTGGAAGAGTGTTTGATGGAGTTTAGTGTTGGCTCTTTGTGAACAGGAATCTAAATTTACCCATACTTTAGCTGAGACTCCTTTAAATTCATTAAATTTCGTAGAAAAAATAAAAATTAGTTTTTCCTAAAACTTTTTCTAACTTCAACTTCAACTTAAACTAATTCAGATTCAGTTTCTTCTTCACATTTCTATACCCCCATATGCTATTTTAATCATATATTCTATATATTAGACCTAAGAGAGCATTCAAAATTCGTTGTCTGAAAAACGCGTCTTAGTTCTTTAGTTAAAAAAGTTATTTAGCCTAGGGGCAGGTTTTTATCTATGTGGGTGTGTTCGATACGTGTGTGTGTGTGTGCTCGCATATCAACCCCAAAAATGGCAGGTGGCAATAGATATATGGTTAGGCACTGTAGGCAGCCATGTTCCTTTTTCTTATATCATTTGTTTTTTTTTTCTACTTTTTAATTTGTAATTAAGACGACAAACCATAAAATATAGAAATTCAAGTGCGAAAGCGTGGGCGTTATATAAATACTTATATATATAAATATATATAAATATATATAAATATATATATATGTGCATCCAATTTTATACAAATCAAGTTCACAAAACTTCGTCTCAGATTAAATGAAAAAATATATATTTTTTAATAACGTTAACAACTTATTGGGAATTATATATTTGTTGATGAAACATGAAAGCCGACGCATAAATTGAAATTATTGCTATTGCGCTTCTGTATATATGCCTTAAATATATATATATATAAATATACATATTTTACATATATATGTATATATAACTGGCTTTCAATTACGACAATTTGTTGTTTTATTCTACATTAAATACATATATATTTTTTATTATAATTATTATTGTTATTATATTTTTGGGCTTGCCAAAAACAAAAATATTGTTGTTAGGCTGACGCAATTTTTATGCAAAATTACTAACCGAAATTTTGTTGTATGAAAATGTGTGCAATCGGCTTCCAGAGAAACATGCAAAACAATAATATATGCATTTAAATTATGGGCTTAATGCAAATATCGTGGGGCGCAGTTGGGGCTAAGGGCAATGCGCAGCCAAATAATATGAAAGCAAATTAAAAAAGAAAAAAATATAATATATATATATACAAGCGTAAATGAATTATAAATTATATATAATGTACACAAATGATGTAAGGAAAATAAACAAACTAATTTCAATTTTCAATTTAAGTAATTGCAAAATGGATGAGAGGAAAGCACTTCAGACTTATATTCAAATTATTATTATTATTAATATGTGCCCATATTATTATTCGTATAACTATTTTATAATTATTTTGATTTCTTATTAATACTTTTATTATTTATATTATGTATATATAAAAATTAGTCAAATATTATTAATTTATTTTTTATTGTTGTGTAATTTATTGTTACTATAAAAATTATAAAATAATATTTTTTTATACTTTATTTTTAAATAAAAAAATATTTTTTTTTTTAAATAAGGACAATGCTGAGTTTGAGCACATAGCAGGGCGGGAAAACATCTGATGACAAAGTGAGAGGCAGCTCAAGCAGTAGGAAGTTTCTTAGTCGCGCAGCAGACATCAGTAAAAGGCATCACCTGCCTCCCACACACAAAAGGATATCAATATTATTATCATTATTTTCTATCGTTGTTCAGATTATCATTACTGTTATTATTCTTACTTTTACTCATAAATATTATTATCATAAATTAAAAACTAAAATATATAAAATTTAGTTCATTATCCAGGCAACAATTTCTTTATCATTCACGCCGATGAGCAATGATCGCTTATTGCAATAGCATTTTATTTATAATCAATAAAAAGTAAACAAACGACAATTTTCATAAACAATCTCCGCATTAACTGCTTCAGATAGGGGGTCAGCGAGGGCTGGTTTATTAGTTAATTGTGACGTAGGCAACCGCATTATAATATGGCCACTTAATTGTTAAATTGTTAATTGCTTTTCGAACACTTTAAACAAACAAAAGTAATAACCGTAATTAACGCAATGGGAAATCGAATCCAATTGGAGGCAGCAAAAACAGCAACAATAACAAAAGTGTCTCGCTCTCTGGCATTTTGGCTGTAAAACTGTCAAGTCCAATGACTCATAAACTGCAAATGGGCAACGTTAACGCTAATTAAATAATAATAAAAGGATATATATTTGCAAATAAAATTCTTCTTTCATTTTTTTTTTCGAATAATATTCTCTTTTATTTGTTTTTTTTTTAAGTTTTTTTCATGTTTTTTTTTCATTTTGTTTTCTTGGTTTAAATTTCTCTGTGTATGTGTGTGTATAGAGTGTGTGTGTGTGTGGGTGGAATTTACCGCTTTGTTGACTTGGTGCTTCCATTTGTTGTAGCATAATTTATTATACAATTGAGGGCATGGCTTAAATATTAATATTTTTATCGTCTTTATCATTACCATTATCATTAGCATTATCATTATCATTATCATCATCTCATTCTCTATATGCATAGTGTTCAACATACCAAACAAAATAACTAAAAGTATTTTTTATTTATTTCTATTTTATATACCCAAAAAAGAAAATTAAAAGCAATTTTTTGTTTTTTTTTTTTTAATTAATATTTAAAAGTTTTGCGTATTTGTATTTTTGTTTTTTTTTTTTTGTTTCGTTCTTGTCATTTTCGTTTATACAATAAAAAATTAAAAAAGTTGTACGTATATCAAAAAACACATTTATAATATTTTCTTTTGTTTTTATTTAAGTTTTTTGTTTGTTTTTGTTTTTAATTTACATCAATTATATATTTTACAATTTAGCTTTGTTTGATTATTTTTTAAGATTTAGCTATGTGTGGTTGTGTGTGTGTGTATTGGATTTTGCTTATAGAGAAAGTACAGTACTAAGTAACTAAACTTCTTTTTGCGCCTATTCATTAAATTATCGCCTAGAAATTAAAAGTTTATATTTAAGCTTGTTTTTGTCTTTATTAAATTATATATATATGTATATATATATATATTATGATTTTTTGTATTTTTTTTCTGTTTTTGTTTTTAGTTATTTTATTAAAAAATCTACAATTGCATTTAAAGCTAAAAATATGACTTAACTGTAGTTTTATTTACAGAATGTTTATTTCATTTATGTTTTCCATATTTTGTTTTCCTTTTTAGAGTACATACTACTGGCTATATATATATGGAGATATATATATGCACGGCTGTTGGCTAATCTAAGACCCTAGCTAGAACCGAGTTTGTCAGAGTTTTGCTTGGTTCGGTTCGAACCACTTGAGCGCTACAAATATTTGACGATTTTTCTTTACTTTTGCTTAAATATAAAATTAATATTATTTTTTATTTTTTTGTTATTTGATTTTTGTTTTCGGGTTTTTCGCTAGTTCTCTAAATTCACACGGGCGACATAGTGTTGGGGCGTAGGCTAAATGGGGGCGTGGTCAAATGTTTTCAAGATTTACCTTTGCTTGGATGAAATTGCAGCTGAAGGCCAAAAGTTGATTTGAGATTTCAATTTCTTTTCTCTTCTTTATGTGGAACATTTACCAACACTTGTCGCACTTTAGCTAGTTATCGATCGCAATTCGATCGATTTTTGTTTTTGTTTTTATAATTTTTTTTTTTGTTTTTGTTTAATTTAGATTTAAAAACAACATCACTTGGTTTCACGTTTGATTTGAATTGCGTGTTTAAATTTTTACAACGAGTTTTTTGTTTGTTTTAGAAAGTTTTTGAAACTTTGAAGTTTGAAACAAAAATACACACCTGTATATATATATATATATAAGTGTACATATATTTGTGTTAAAAAAGACATGAGAGAGCTGTATATATATGTATACAAAAGAATAAGAAGAAGAAGACGAAGAGTATTCAGCTAACTGATCCACTGCCCTAACTAATTGGTTGTAACACAGATTAATGCACTGGTAAAAAGGGGGGTTTCGGGGGAGGGGGGGGCACGGAGCAGCCCCAAAATGGGCGAGAAAAGAGACGAGAGCTGAAATTCCAATTGGAGCTCCAATTGGTGCCATTGGAGTTGGGTCTACATCTGGGTCTTAGGGCTGCTCGCGCTTGCATTGCGGCCACCCGTCCGGCAGCGTGTCCTAGGAGGACTCGTAGCCAAACCAGGCGGCCGACGAATGCTATTCACCACCCGCACCGCCGCCACCAAAGCTATTGAAGTGACGCACTGCACCCGGCGCAGCGGCTGCCCCGAATTGCAGGCTCAGCTCGAAGAGACGACGAGCGTGCAGCTGCTGCTGCTGCTGCTGATGATGATGATGCTGCTGGTGATGGTGGTGCTGGTAGTGATGATGCTGATGCAGTGCCGCCGCCGAATGGGCATTCAAATTGAGATGACCGCCCAGCACACTCGACGCCGAGCCCGGCGAGGCGGCACTCGGCGGCTGCAGTGGCAAGCCGCTGTTGCTGCCGGCACCGGGCGACAACTGCGAACTGCTGCTGCCCTGCGTCTGCGACTGCAGATGCTGTGCGTGGGGATGCTGCAGCTGATCGCTGGTATGGAATAGATGCGGATGATGCGCGGGATTCAGATGCGGATGCTGGTGCGGATGATGGGCGGCATGATGCGCGTGCTGATAGCGCATCGGATCCATGTACATGGCAGCTGCTGCAGCGGCTGCTATGCTGGATGCCTGTTGCTGTTGCTTAACTTGCTCCTCATTGTTGTTGTTGTTGTTGTTGTTGGTGCTGTTGTTATTGTTGTTGTTGTTGTTGTTATTCGTCTGACCATTAGCGGAGGAGCTGCCCAGCGGACTCTGCGGCGACATCACCTGACCCTGACTGGTCATCGTCACCGAGGAGCCCGCACTAGATGAAGGTGTATTGGGCGTATGCTGCTGCTGCTGCTGCTGTTGTTGCTGCTGCTGCTGCTGTTGCTGTTGTTGCTGTTGGTGTTGCTGTTGCTGCTGTTGGTGTTGCTGTTGCTGTTGTTGCTGTTGGTGCAGACTGTTTGCAGGAGTGGACGCAGCTGCAGCTGAGTTCGACTCCTGGATTTCTGATTGCTAGTGAGCCGCCAACTGGTGAGCCGACTGCATGTTCTGTGGGCTCAGCATTGGCGGGCTGTGGCTGTGCGAGTGGTTGCCCATGGGGCTGCCGTGCATGTCGTGGTGCGAGTGATAGCCACCGTGATGCATGTGTCCCGGTGGCATGCCGTCCATCATGTCGCCACCGAGCGTATTCGGCGGTGTCATGCGCTTCTCCTTCTGGCGCCGATTGCAGAACCACACGCGCACCACCTCCTTCTCCAGCTGCAGTGAGTCCGCCAGCGAGGTGATCTCCTGCGCCGAGGGCTTCGGCTGCTTGTGGAAGTGCTGCTCCAAGGCGCCCTTAACGCTCACCTCAATGCTCGTGCGTTTCTTGCGCTTGCGTCCCTGGGCGGCGATCTTGTCGATGCTCGTCGGCGAGCCAGTGGTGGAGTCTGCCTCCTCGAGCCACTTCTGCAGCAGCGGCTTCAGCTTGCACATGTTCTTGAAACTTAACTGTAGAGCCTCGAAGCGACAGATTGTGGTCTGCGAGAAGACATTGCCGTAGAGCGTGCCCAGGGCCAGGCCAACGTCCGCCTGGGTGAAGCCGAGCTTGATGCGGCGCTGCTTGAATTGTTTGGCGAATGCCTCCAGATCATCGGATGTGGGCGTGTCCTCCTCGCCACCACTGATCGTATCACGATCGCCGCCACCACCGCCCATATGATGTGGTATATGCAATTGGGGCGACTCGCCGCGCAGCGCATGATGCAGTGGCGCCACCTGGTGATGGGCCGGATGATGGTGCAGCATCCCATTCATGGCCGCATGATGATACTGCAACGGGGAGCCACCCGTGGGCGCATAGTGTCCGGCATGTGGTGCATGCCACGGGGCTGTAGCGTGCGGCGAGGCCATGCCCTGTTGGATGCGCGTCTGTTGCGACAAGTGTGACATCTCCTGCTTGACAGAGTCAACGGCTGCGACAGCGGCGGCGGCGGGATGATGGTGCGTCGTATGATGGGTGGGCAGGGACCACGGATCCGGATGCAAAGCACTCCAGCTGCCCAGCCCAGAGCCCGGTGTCAGGCCGCCCAAGCTGTTGCCCTGTTGCACCTGTCCGTTGGGCGACGGCGACGATGGCAGCTGCTGTTGATGATGTGAGGCAGCGGCTGCAGCGACTGCTGCATGGTGATGATGGTGATGCTGCATGTACTTCATTTCGCCAGCATCGGCGGCCGAGCGGGGCGAGGATGTGTGATAGCCACCGCCACCGCCGCCGCCGCCGCCACCACCGAGGGCCATGTCAAGATCACCGCTGGGCGGTGTCATATAGGAGGTAGCGGCCATCCCCACCGCTCTGGGGCTGTTCAGGCCCTCCACGCTGGCGGGGTAGGGCTCCAAGTTGGGGCTCAGTTTAACGACTTTGTAGACCGATCGATCGAAAGGAAGACCTGAGTCCCTATGCTCATTCCACTCGAACCGTGAGGCAACCGTTTTGAAGTCTTTTACTGGCAACGTGGCGGCACCAAAAATTGTGGGCGTGGCGGCACGCAACACACTCTCAACACTCAACACACTGAACACTCGCAACACACTCAACAAGTTTCGTCACCGACGGCGCGACGAACAAATTTTGTGTTTTCAATTTTTTGTGATTTTTTTCATTTGCTTAAAAAACTTTTGTGTTTTTTTATTCAATTTTTTTATATGTTGCGCAGTTTTTTGATTTTATTTTTGAATTTTTGTTTCGTATAAATTTCTGGTTTTGTTATTGTTGCACTTTGTGGCTTGATTTAATGATTTGAACACTTGGCACTATTTCTTCGTTGTTGATTTGTTGTCGATGTTGTTGTCGTTGTTGTTGTGGTTGTTGTTGTTGCTGTTGCTGTTGCTGATGTTGTCGATGTGGTTGATGTTGTTGATGTCGTTGTTATGATTGTTGTCGTTGTGTAGTCACAAAACACACAGAACGAAAATACTTCAACTATTCAGATTTTGAGATTCGGCATTCAGTATTGTGTTTGAGATTTTGTTTCAGCTTGCGGATCAGCTTTGAGACGCCAGAGACAGCGCACATAATAATAATAATATATACTATAAATATACACACTGAGAGACGGCAAGCCCAGCAGACACGCTATAGAGAGCCTATGGGACAAATTCACGTGCAAACTCGTAGAGCTATCGAAGTGAACTAACGTCATGCAGCGGCCAGCGGCGCTACGTAGACGGCGCTCTCGACGTTCGACAACAACGACGGCACACACACGCACACGAACGCGCGAGCTCACACTCACACACACACACACACACGCGCGCACGAACACAGCTAGCGCTGCGAAACCAGTTTTCAACCCGTCTTCCAATACGCCATGCGCGCGAGCGAGACGCTTAACATGGTAACGACATGAATGATGCGCGTGCGACTGAGATGGCCTGTGAGAGCGCATGAAACTGGAAGTCGACTTGCGCTCTATTGGGCTCGCTGTTCGCTTTCCAGTGCCGCCCACCAAAAAGGCAAGCAAGCAGCGTCGCATTCCCATGCAGAGTGACATTTTTAATTGCCAGCACCAGCAGGCCAGCAAGGGAGAGCGAGAGCGCAAGAGGCGCGCGCGCACACAGGCCTTTGTCAGACGCAGAAAGCTTTTCGCACAGGACTGCGGCCGCTACAGGAAGCTTTGTTCAGTTTGCTGTCGTCGCTCTTTGGACTGCCAACTTTTGCTTTCATTTTGTTGGTGTGCGTGTGAGCGTGTGTGTGTGTGTGTGAGCTTGTGGGGCGTGTGCAATGGCAACGCCACAATGGGGCGGGCAATGCAACTGGCAACGGGCAGCGAACACCGGACAACGGGCAAATAGGCAAACGGACAAACGGGCAAACGGCATCGAGCGAACGCTATCTCCGATATCGGAGCATCTAACGCGTCCGAGAACAACTGTAAAATCAGTCGCACATTAATTGAAATGTATCGCGGCAATAAATTTGCATGCAAATGTTACAATGTTTCAATCTTCGTCCAGTTTCCAGTTCGCAGCTTTTGTTATGCATATCTGTCAGTTACTTTCAAAGAAAGGCCCATTGTCTATGTGTCTACAAACGGTGGAAGTGTGTGTGTGTGTGTGTGTGCGTAAGTCTGTGCGTTGTTTTCTGTTTCGGTACTCGTGCTTAGTTCACCGTTAGGCATTCTCCTTGCTAGTTATTGATTTGCAGAGAGTGTTAAATTTTCTTCTTTTTATTCTGCTGTTATTGATTTTTCATTTAACAGTATTTGCACAAATGCGCGCCATTTGCATAGCTGCGATTTGTATGTAAACAGAGCTGAACTTCTTTTGTGCGTTTCTAGCGCCATCTCGCTCACTCTCTCTGACACCCTTTGTGTGTGGCTGTTCGAGTTTTGATTTAGTGGAGCTGCATAGATAAAGCGCCCTTTGTAAGGAGTTTTTTTTATGGTTTGCTTTTTGTTTGTGCACAATGGAGCAACAGTTCAGCACACTGTGCAAAAATTGACAAAACTTGTGACTTGACTAAGTCTGGGTTGTCGCCGGCTCCAAAGTTTGCTTCAAACCTGTGCGGAACTTTCAATCTAATCTAACTAATTTGATTCAATAATTTAATGCATCTAGTGATAGCCTAATGGATTTATTAACTGCTAATAGCTCTAATTTAATGACGTAATGATTATATTTTAATATAATCTTATTCATTACTTAAAAAACCTCTTGGGATGTGATTTAATTATTCATTAAATAGTTAAGTTATATTATTATGAGATTTTGTTTAAATATACTTTTATACAGGCCTAAGCAGTTTGTTACTTATAAATTATATTCTGTTCAGTCTTCAATTCCTGCTGTCTCTGTTTACAAATTAATATATCTGCTATATCACCATCTAATTGAAAGCATTTTCTATCATTTATACACTTTACTGCCGTATTTCTCTCAAGCTGCATATTCCATCTCTTTCAACTACTTTTGCGGCAGGTCAAGCGTTCAGGTTGTGTCAAAAATTATGCAAACTAAGGTCAACGCCATGCACAACAAACAAACACTCACACACACACACACAAGCATCACTTTGTTTACATTTTGTTGTTGTTTTTAAAATTTCTGTGTCCTTTGGCCACACACTTGGGCATAATTAATAAGCCACAGAGCGAGCTAAGCGAGTCAAGTTGTGTCGGCCAACCACGGGAAACCACAGCGCCACGGCTCACGCTCCTTGGCCAAATTTACATGATAATTAGGCGGCGGCGTTAAAAAAATAAAAAACCAAAAAAAAAAAAAACAGAAAAAATATATTTAAATTTCAAATGATGTTAAAAATCCTGTTTAGCTCGTCCCCGCCCCAACCCCGGCCGTCATCTGGACGTATGCTAAATGCGCACGCGCCGCGCTGCCTGAAAAGGACTTGTTGCATAATTATGCGAGAGAAAAAAACGCAAATGCTAAAAAAACATAGCTAAACGCTGTATTTATGAATGAAGATCTCTTTCGCTCTCTCACTCTCTCTCTCTCCCTCTCTCTCTGTTTGTCTGCCTTTTGATTTGGATGATAATGAGGTGCGATTAGCATTTTGGCTGCATTCATTTCAGCTTCGTAGCCGGCGCACTTGCTTATAATTATTAGCATAATTTTCTTCTTATTTTGCATTAAGTGGCGCGTTGTTGTTGTTGCTCTTGTTCACACACATACACACACATTCATAAAAAATAATAAAATTTGGCATCGTCTGTTGGCAAATTAATTTGATCACCGATTTGAAGACCAGCTTGAAACTGGTCTCGTTTTCAGAGACGCGCAATTAAGGCGCGGGAGTCCAGAGCCGGGAACAAAAAGTCCCATTTGAGTGCCTAATTGTGGCCTTATTTAACGTTAAAGTGTATGCAAAACAAATTTATCGAGCAGCCATAAGAATCTTAAGTATTTAGAAGTAAATATGTAAATCGACAGCGTGTTATATCAATCGTAACTCAGCATTAGCTACACATATTTGAAGCAACCCTGCTTCAATGAACTTCTTGACTAGAGAAGAGAAGAAAAGCTGAAGTTTCAAGTTGGCAATCTAATTGAGTTAAGATATATATACAGATTTAAGTATGCAAGCAAATATAATAGTAAAATATACAAATTTAAGCCTTACTATAAATATAAAGAATTCGAGAGTTTTCTTATACAAACCTATTATAACTCGGCTTTTACTGAAGACGATTGAAAATGTTTAATAGTTACAAACTTGTCAGTTAGAGTTGAGCTCAAAAATAGCAAATCGCTGTATCCAAAGAAATATTATCAAAAAAATTATATACATTTAAATATATACTTTTTAGATTTGGTAGAATTTTATGTTTTATAATACGTATTCTAGCTTATCATATAAGTAATCTATTCTATATTAAATGATCTATTATTTCTATATATATATATATATTGTTAATATATTGTGTGTTTAGTATAAATAAATCCATCATCATCTCTGACTTATAAGTTCTGATTCAACTTGATGACTTCAACAATTTTCTTTAACTTTCCTAGTTTCATAGACTCTCTCCTATTATCTGCTACAATATCTTCCTAGCTCATATGCATCTCAAATTCTGCATGACTTCTTTTTGATGAGCAAAACAAAACGTTTCATTAGCTTATGTCAGAATACAGCTGCAATTTTTGTTCACAGCTCAGCGCAAAGGACAGCTACAGGCACCACATGAAACCCATCCCAAGCAGACAGTAGTCGGTCAACTCTTTACAACAAACAAGAATAATTGCGCGCCAAAAAAGTAGCACATACACTCACACACACCCAGAGAGAGAGGAAGTGAAGAAGCTACCCAAAAGACAAGAGGAACTCTTGCACAACCCTTTGCCGTTGCCTTTGGTCTGCCTGCGCTGCCTGGCAAGGTCAAAGCGAGCGACTCAAATCGCATAGGCAAATTTGCTCAAGACACAAACTTCTTAAGCCTTTCAGCCCTTGCTGCGTCCTGCGAGCTGCAAGCAGCCATTTATCATTTTTTGCCGTTTTGCAATTTGAAATTTGTGCAATTTTTGCGATTTCTGCAATTTTGCATGCAAGCGGCCGTTAAAGTCGTCCTGCAATCAGGCTGCGTCGCTTATCCTTTGGCCTTTATCCTTTCACTTTCGCTACCTACATGCACCCCAAATGCTTGCCAAATTCCAATACACACGCACACACACATGCACACGCGCGAGCAGGACTCGCTGTCATATGCAAATTAGCACAGCCTAAAAAAACGTTAGAGCACATTTTTTTAGCGTCCCGCCAAAAAACACAACATAAAAAACTCAAATGGCAATTGTTGTTGTTGATGGGTGTGTGTGTTCAGTACGAGGTCCTGCGAAACGGCATCTAAATGCATTTCGGTGCGCCTCATTGGCTCTGGCATTGAGCTCAACTGTCAATGCGACCTAGGCAAAGGGCGAAATATGCAAATTAGTTAGCGTTCTTCTCTTCTTCTTCTTCACCTCTTTTTATTTATTAACTAATTTATCTCTGTGTCCCATAGGCAACCCGTCAGGGCCGTGAAATATAGCAAAAAGCCTTACAACACCTGGCCACAATTCCATTTTCCCCTCTCGATAGTTTTTTTGCGCGGTTTTTATCGCTACGCCTTGTGTGTGGTGCCAAAGCGATGAGGTCGCTAAGTAGCTGAGC